GATTTTCCAAAAATAGTCAGTTGTGGTAGTTTTTTTCATACACAGTCAGAAATATAACACTTCTACAACACACACTTCTCTGTGTGCAGTTGTATACAAAGTGTTTTGTGACTTCCCAGGTCTGCTCTCTGCTATCATTTGAACCTTCTACTAGAGAGCTTCTGCACTTTGGTGACCCTGGGTCCACAATGTTTTCCTTCCTTTGTTTGCTAGGGGAAGGTATAGACAATAGATGTGTCCCTATCAATTAGGGCTGCAACTAACAATCATTTTCATTATCCATTAATTTAACGATTATTTTTAGTTTCTCAATGTCTACAGTGATGTCATTAAATGTAAAGATATTCAGATTAACATGATTTAAAAGACAAGCAGGAAATCTCCATGTTTGAGAGGCTGAAAACAGCATTTTCTGTCATTTTTGCGTGAAAAAATACCTAATGATTAATTGATTAGTCGGTTAATTGTTGCAGCTCTACTATCAACACGTATAGGAAGTATTTCACTGATAAAGCAAGCTGATGTGTGACCGAACTAGGAGCAGCAATTCCAGTGGTTGAACCTGAAAATGTAAAGTTTGAAGGAGTTTATTACTTATAAACAATCATATAACACAATCTCAACTGTGCACTTTTTTGAGGTTCAGTCGTCTACTGTTCTGTTTTGACACACAGCTCATTGCTGGTCAGGATAAAATTCTGTGTATGAAAGTTTTTTGGAAGTGGTAGTGAAATTCCTCAAGTCTCAGCAATAGTCAGCAATAATATGCATGTAGAATTGAAGTCTGCAGAGCTCTGAAAGATGGAAGGGAGAAATACCCAAAGCACTGAAAATATTATGTTTTTCTTGCGGAATGAGGAATTTATTTTAAATATATAAGAACAGTGACAATGGATAGAAAAATGAGAAGCATGAATAATCACACAAAGTCTTCTTTGTTTGTTTTTTGTCTAAGGTAAACAAATTATTTCTGCAATACTCCCTGCAGAAGATACAACGTACAGTGAATGGTGCTACACTTGCATGCAACTATGAGCATATGTGTAGTTGTGTTTTAACATGTGCAAATAAACATGTGTATGTATGCTTTTAGGTGCAATAGCGGCCACAGTGTTCATTGCCTTTTTACTTGCTCTCTACGCTGTCCTCTGGAAGTGCATGGTGTCACCACCACAACGGTAAAGAACAGACACAAGCCCTAACTTGATTTTGCTGGAGCTACAATTTGATTTTGTTGACACAGCAATCTTGAAAACTGCCATTTGTTCACTTGCCTTCTAGTGTCACAAGTCTGAACTTTGTATCCCAGCTCATCAAAGAAAGACAAATCACCTCACACGATCGGCACTTTTTCCACTTCATATTAAAGTTTGTTATTGTTTTACTGCGGTTGTCATGTAAACACTCTCATCCCTCTCTCTTTTAGAAAGCACAGCAAGGTGAGGGTAAGAGTACATCAGAGGACTTCTGTGTGAGGACTGGCGTCTGTTCAGCGAGTCATTTTGGATCTTAAAGGTGCAGCCTAAAATCTGAGAGCAGACTTTGCTCCCATGCAGGCAGAGAAGAGCGACTGCTGAAGATCCTCCTAATAGATCCAAAGATCAAACCACAAAAAAAAGTGACTCAACTGAGTGGATGTGTCACCTGTTTCCGTCTGTTTCCTGGTTGACTCAAAGCTTCATGTTGATGTGAATTTTGTTTTTTGGCAGGTCAGAGTGTGCTGCTTTTTTTCAGTTCTTTCCTGTGAACTCTGCACTACTGAGGGACGAGGCGGCTCAGGCCACATTTCACTCCAGTGACCAAACAACTGTGTGTACGTGTTTGTAAAAAAGAGAGAGAGAAAGAGGAAGAGAGATTGTGGTGTATTTAGTATATGTAGATTTTGCATGGTTTGTACCTTCACCAAATGGACAGTTGCATTTGAAACATGTCCTCTCTTCTGGCATAGTATTTCTTATTGAAATTACATAATGATCTCAGTTGGTTCAATTTACATCCATTTTAATCTGTTCTTGTTTCTTAAAGATTTTGTGGGGAAAACTCCTAAAGCTGCCAGGAGGTTCAGGACAATCAACTAAACACCTCTGTACTTTAGTCTCTAAATAGCATTTACTGTGGAAATTTAGAATGAAATCCACAGTCTATTCACTTTGCTCAGGATGTTGTTACTACTGTATGACCTTATACTCTCTATTATAAACTGTGACTTATATTTTTTACATTTAGTGGACTGTGAATATAAATAAATGATATAGAACTTTAAATGAGACTCATTCGTTTTTCTTTTGTTTCATGGTGTATTTCTAACTGAACATAATAATGGAATGAGGAAAGAAATACTCTGGATGGATTTATCTGGAAACAAAGCACTTAACAGATCAGGTCAGATTCAGGTTCACAAGCAGCTGAATCCCAGAATCTATGTGGTCAACACAAGAAAAGACATGACATATATGAATATGGTCACTTGAGCTAGATGGACATATCCTACATAAATGGACACAGTCAGCAGCCACTGAGCAGCTATTTGTTACCTGACACTTTAGTAGCTGACTCTGTCACAGCCACAGCAGAGGTCTGACACTGTTTTTTTAGAACCAGTTCTGCAACTTACAGAAGACACACAGTGGAGTCAACTGAACTAAGTAATGAGCAGGGAATGTATGCGGGTGAGATCCTGTTACTGTTGAGAGTCAAAATTGTAAATGAGTTACAAATCATTTGAACTCTGCAATCCAGTCATATCTTTGATTTTCAGGAAACTAAATGCATTTGTAGTTTTCAAAACATTGAGATATATGTTGATTACAGTGAAAGGCTGAATAGCTAATTATTTATTTATTAATTTGAATGATCGGTAGGTGATGTTCTCAACCTTGAGGTTTTTATTTATTTACAGAGTAAAAACATGGGACATTTTTGCAGTTTAAGAAAACATTGCTTATATATAGGCTTAAACTTGCATTAGTCAGTAAATTACATAATACATAACCAGCAAAAACCTCTTTAATACTTAAAACAGCTTGTTGTGATATTGCTTGTCCAACAGATGACATAGTTGATGAAAACTTTGTCTAAATCATTAAAATCAGTGTGATTCTTTATTCTGAGTTAGATTTCTACCTAGAGTAAAACCAAGAGGACACACAGCAGTGCTATTTTTGGATATCAGATAAGATATGGTAACACGCAGTCATTTAGGAAACAAATTTCCTGCTATAAACCGGTTCTGTGTGCTCCTAGACTGAAGCTGCACACCTCACTCACTCCCCTAGATGCCTTTAAAATGACTAAAACGTAAATTGTGAACCCTGGAATGCACAGTGCAACAGCACACTAGATAAATTCACTGCATATAAAATTACATTATCAGTTATAACAAATGCATGTTTTGATGTTTGACAGTAAAAACTTTATATTATGTAACTCATACATATATACCCCTACAACCTCATTCAAAATTCATTTTTGATTTTCAAAAATACTAAATATATATTTGATAATGCCATGCAAGTAACAACTATATCATCAACACTACCAGTTGCATCCTGTAGATAACATCTCTAGCTGCTTCCCAGTTTACAGTGAGTTGTGAGTTGTTTAAAATACTCTTTAGATTGCTTAGATCTGCTGTGTGTTTTCTGCTCTACACACAATATGTTATGATGAACTCTGCAAGATACATATTTCCAATCAAATCATATGTGCACATAGCATGTTAAAATGTGGGGTAAATACAAAACCTCAACATATTTACATTAGAAAGCCGCAGAGGGGCGCCCTGGTAGCTCACCTGGTAGAGCTGGCGCCCCATGTATCAAGGCTGTGTCCTTGCTGCAGCGGCCATGGGCTGGACCCCTACCTGTGGCCCTTTGTTGCATGTCATCCCCTCTCTCTCCCCCCTGTCCTGTCACTATTGATTAAAGGGAAGAAAAGCCCCCTCCCCAAAAAAGAAAAAGATAGTCGCAGATCCACATTATGTGAACAGTGCAACTGTTTACACTCTTGAAAGGGATACATGAAGCATATGACTAAGAAGTCTTGGGCTTGGTCTTCGACTTTAAACTATGAAGCATCAGTTGACATATAGTCATATGTAACACTACATGATTCCTGCAGACTCCCAGAGGGTTCATTGATTTCACTGATCATGACTTCTTGTGCCTCAAGTCGCACAAATCGTCCTTTACTGTGTAAAAATAAGTCTTGTTTGTTATGCAGACTGTTTGCTGAAGGGCAGTCACTGACTGCGGGCAGTACTCTGCTTGGAGTGGCACACAGGAGAGTGACAGACAGGCAGAAGGAGAAGACTGGGAACCAGAAGAGGTCAGTGTGTTTATGGGTTCAGGATCGTTCACTGTGGATGTTTCATTCAGAGGAACGCTGGTATTCAGGATCTCAATGTCACAGCAGCTGCACTCCACATTCTGAGACTGCAGCTTCTCACTGGTCTGTAAAAACAAGCAGGATTAGAATAATATAAACCTGAGGCAGTTTAACATGAGTTTAGATAAAGAAGGAGAAGGAGGGGTTATAGGGGGCTATATCTGTGGGACCAATGTACATAAAATGGTGTGTGTGCATGACTACGTGGATTTACTTTGATATCTGGTTCACTCTAGGTGATGACTGTTTACTTTCAGTCAAAGACAAACACACACACACACACAGAGGAAATTCTGTTACTGTATCTAATTTGCCTATACAGCATTTCTGTGTGATGATTAGGGAAATTTTAAGTAAAAAGTAAAAAGTACCACCTGAATATATAAAACAAAACAGGGGCTGTGTAGTTTGCGCTGTAGAGTGCAGTGTAACAGTTATACTTATAGTAATATTTCCATGCTCTCTCTGTATTATATGTTAAATGTATTATCTCTGTATTCATCTGTGCATGATCTGAATATTTGTTGGGTTAGTCCATACCTCTTGCAGGAAACTGTCTAACTCAGGAATTTGGATGTTCATACCAGCAGGATAAACAAATATTTTCTTCAGCCTATTCTTCGCCCTGGAGAAGAAACAGAACCAAACAGAAGATGGAAGAGAGAGAAGCTCTAGGTTGTCTCCTGCAGGAATTAATGTTTAAGCCAAGATTTACACATGAAGTTACTCACTTTCCTCTTTGAGGCCACAGGAGAATGGTGCAGCCCAGCAGCAACAAGATGGGAATCAGTATCTTGGCCACGTGAGCAGAGTCTAGCAGAGGAAACAGAGGATGAGCAGCTTACATAATCATTGTGTACATTTCAAGCCCTAAAATTGCACTAGACCTTTAGAACTTTAAGTCATAATTCTGAGAGAAACAATAGTAAAAGTGACTGATATTGTTGAATTGTTGTATCTCTGGAGCTCACAGTTGGTTCTGGTCCTGATGGTGATACTGGCAGGTTGTCCAGGCCCCTCCTTAGTGAGAGCACTCACTGACAATGTATACTCTTGGTTTTGCTGCAGACCCTCTATGGTCACAGACTTCCTCCGAGGGTCTGCCACCGACACATTGAACAGATCTAGATGTACACAAGATTATAAATGCCTTGTTTCACTGTAATGTACGTAAAAGTGACTTAAATTGGTATTTATCTGAGAATGCTCCCATTGACCTATATAATTATTATTATATTTAGCATGTTTTGTCTTTTAACAGAGAAGGAGAACAAGAAGTAAGACCGGAAGCTTTTCCTCTGCGCTCACTTGCAGCATGACCTTGGGGCATATCAGATCCTACTTTCTGCACCATAACCAGGTAACCAGTAATGAACGCTGGATGAGCCGGATCATCCTCACTGTAATGCCACTCCAGTGTCACAGATGATGAAGTACTCTGAACAGGTTCAACCAGATTCGGGGACTGTAGAGATGCTGAGGTACAGAGGGCGGTTTTGAGGAAGGAAGACAGATAAAATCAATTAGAACTAAAGCAATAGACATTCTCCAACTGATATGAGCCTACAGGGACTTTCTTATCTGACACCTGCATTGCTTCAGCAAAAGCTCTATCTTCTTTTTCCACTGGTGTGGTGGTTTGTGGTTAACTTTTATAAAATTGTACCTGGTGTTCTGTTCACAGAACACAGTAACTGGATATAATTTGCATTTCCTTTTTGTCTCTGTCATCTATACGCAAGATGGTGTCTTGCATATAGATGACATCTGGAGGAGGTTCTAATTCGAGCCTCTGATGAAGACATCCTGTGTCAGAAGTTAACCTGTCACACCTTATTCAAAGTTTCATTTTTAACTATGTGCTCAAGACCTAATCTGTCTTGCAGTGTGTCTCCCTGGTCAGTCTGTTAAGGCAGCCCCTCTACTATGTGCCTAGGAGACCAGCAAAACAACTTATTAACCTCATCAATAAATACTGCTGTTAGATGTACATAAATACAAGAACACAAACACACACATTTTCAGTACAACTGGTTAATCAGTAATAACACTCACTGAGCTCCTGTGAGTATCCAGTCTGTATCTCCAGGAGTCTGTGTCCATTTTCCATGCAGCCATAGATATTAAATGTATACCTGCAACCTTCTTTGAAGTTTCCTACAACATAAAGGTGTATGACAGTAAATGGCAAGATTTAAGGGATGCATTTACAGTGACCACTAAAGAAAAACAACAACACTTACTAGCAGGTAGAAACAATGTGTTGTTTCCTTTTGCAATCTTCATCCAGTGCAGAGTGCAAGGCACTGCATGTCCCAGAATGCACCACTCCACAGTATAGCCACAGGTGGCAGTGTCCAGCTGATCCCAGGACAGACTAAAACCAGCAGGTGTGCTGTTGTTCAACCGCTTCTCTACTGGGAGGTTTTCTAGACAGAGACACATAATTCAGACTGTGCTGCAAAAAGTAATTGTAAAGGTGAATTCAGAAAGCAAAAACTGAACAATTCTTCATCACCCTGTTCCACGAAATGCATGATGATCATCTAATGGCAGAAATCCACCACTAAAATCGAAACGTCCACTACATTTTGCAAAAATTGTAAAATTTTGAGACATCCAGCTAATATAGAGATAGACACAGCTGTCTGTTGTTGTTAGAAGAAATGGTATTTCCAGGAAAGTAAGCTTAATATTTTAGAGTTGCTGTGAGAAAAAAAAGGTGTGAAATGTACAATCACAGACATAAAGAGAATCTAAGCTGATTCCACGTGTTGCTCACCTCCATCGCTCTTTGGGATGGTGATGTGAGCGGAGAGGGTGGAGTCAATGTGGAGAACAGCCTGGACAGTAAACTCATACTGTCCTGGACCTATGGAGACCTCTGCCTGGGTTTGTCCACTGTCCCTCCACTCGGTCCAGTTTTGGGCTTCCTGTGACCACTGAACTATGTAACCTTGTATGTTCACTGTGGCTGCAGAGTCAGGAACATGCTGAGAACAAAGGTACATATGAAAGTTGGGAAAAGTGAGAGGTTCAATATTTTTGTCAAAATAAAACATTTGAAGGAAAACAGATGAGTCTTACTAGAGACCATAATAGAGTAACTTGGCGACTGTTTGGGTCAGATAGCTGCTTTATTCTCCTCCATACATCCAAGGTCACCAATGGACCTGAGGAAAGCATGTGAAGGTGATTTGTTTAAGGAAACACAGGCATGGGAGATCATCCAATAGCAGAACCAGTATACTCGTTGTAAGACTGTTGTACTTTCAGTAGTCTATTAGAGTCTGGTTTTGAACAAACTTTGTGACTTACTTGCTTGTTAAAATAAAGTATATATGAAGAAAGAAAATGAATTGTGGAAGGAAAATTAACTTTTCTGGTTGTTCTATTGGCAAAGTTGGAGATTGAAACCATGAAGCCATGGATTCATGAATGTTAAAGGGTAATTTATTTCCTGATTTAATTTGTCTTTGTTGAGTCTTAACTCAAACCACACTGAAAATGGACTTGACCACACCCTGTATACACCATACTATCCTGATAACACTCACAGGTTGTGAAAAATCTCAGCTGTGTCCATTCTCCCCAGAGCCTGCCATTGACAGAGCAGCGTACCCTGGTTGAGTAGCGGGTGTTGGGAAGCAGTTCCAGTTTGACTTTGCAGAGCCCACTCACACTATTACAGTTCATCTGTTACACAGACAGACAGATGAGAGGTTAAATAAAAACATGCATTAATTATCCATCTTTCAGTTCTGCAGTATGAATGTTTTTGTTAAACCATATTAAAGTCACCTCAGTGGTGCTGCCTGGGTCTGTAGTGACCTGACAGAGGAGGTTCAGCTGAGTTAAGTTTGCCTGTACGATCCAGGACAAGGTGGTATCTGTCACCCCAGGGCTCACTCTGCCCCACTCCACAGCAGGAATCACTAACAGCAACAAACACATGAAATCCCCACATTTGCTAAAAACACAGCATTATCAGAAACACATATTTTATTCTTTAGTGTTCATAAACACAATCCAAAGTAAATAGAAGCAACATATACTGTGTATTCCATATTCTGTTTGAATGTTTGCGTGACCTCTGACCTCTGTCAGAGATGTTGAAGCTGTAGCTTTCTGTCTCCTCTCCCAGCTGGTCCTTCACCAGCACACTGATGTTGTATTCTTCCAACTGTGGGATGGCCGAGAAAGTACAAGACGACTGCTCACATTGGATGGGAGCCTGGTCTGAGTTCCTGTCATTTCAACAACAAAGCACCTGTAGTAAATGTCTGCTTGGGAAGAACAAACAACCCTTTTCGCCATGTAACCTTGTTTAGTTAGAGAGTTGTCCAACTGAGTACAGTATACTTTTATAGTCTGGTTTGAAGAACACATAGGCAGCTCCACATGAATTAAACATACATGCTGTTTTGAAGAAATCTTTACTATTAAACTTCATTGTGTGAGTAACGTATGTTGTACTGCTGGGGTACACATAGCAGCATCAGAGAGGGACCTGGAAGTATATTTCTCAAAGTATACATGCTGTAAATAATGCACCAGTATTTACAATACACTGCCATCTATGTTTGGTAATGTGTGCTCTTACTCTATGTGGAGAGTGCGTGTTTGCACGTTGCGATCGAACTGGTCTCGTTTTCTGCCTGGATCCCAGGTGCAAGTGACAGTTGTCATGTCTGAGGTTGCACAGCTGAGGTTTCTTGGCTTCTGGGGAGGAACTAAAGCACACACACACATACATATATATAAAAGCCCTTTAGATAAATAATGTTCAAAGAAAGTAAATGGAAATAATAATTTCAACTTACAACTGACGTAGTTCCCGGCATAACTCTGCTTGCCTGTTGAATCAGTGCAAATGAGTGAAAGAACTTTGATTTGACGCTTTGGAATAGTCAGGTTATCTACTTTAAGAGCTTTGACTCTGGCTCCAATGTTGATAAGATAAGATTTGTTGTCATTGAGGGTAATGCTGGTAATATTGACTCCTCTTGGGGGAACACAGCAGAACACAGCACTGGTGCCCTCTCTCAGCACCCGTCGGTAGGGGAACAACTCGGTCTTATCCTTTGGCTGGACTCCTGCAGGTCACAGAGCAGAGTCATTGTACAGTCTCAATACCTGGTAGGTTAGGGTCAACTAATTCTCCTTTACATCACCCCTCAGTACAAGATTCTAGGCAAGTCTATTATGGCCAGGCTTTGAGCACGATGTGCATTGCAACAGACATTTGCAATGACTGCAAAAGTTGAGAAACACTGATGTTAAGATTGGTGAAAGGGAAGATAAAAAGAATGGGGACTCACTCTTGCCGAGAGAACCGAAACTAATGCTTATTTGATGTCATGATCTTATCAGTAAAACTGTGCATACAAGAGCCTGACCTGTTTTCTGTGTAATTGTTAGTTTTACTCATGTAGGCTGGTAATTGAGATTCAGAGTAGAGTATCACCGTCTCACCATTGTTGGTTACCCAGTTGCTCCAGGGACTCGGGACAGACTGATTACTGAAATGTCGAATCCTGACTGAGTGACTGACACACTCCAGAGGCAGATCAGAAGTCCATGCCCATGTATATTCATTTGAATCCATGGAAAATAAACTAATATTTATCTAGATTAACAAAAACAGGGACATGGACTTTACAGGAAGTTGTGGTTATGTATAACATCACCATAGTAAAAGTAGCATAATCAATACCATAAAATTACTGAGATGTTACTATATACAGTCTTTAAACAGTATGAAATCAAGACTGCAAAACCTTCAGTACTCACATTGTAAATAATGGTGTGGTTTTCAGTGCGGCTGATCTGGATCTCGTAAATGTTGCCCACAAAGCCACTGTGTTTTACCAGCCAGGTCACCAAGAGGCTTTGTTTGTCATTGACAGCCTTCAGATGACTGATGCTCGGCTGCCAAACTGCCACAAAATTCAGCTCAATGTTGTCAAGTTGTAAAAAAAAATTTAAAAAAGGGAAGGGAAGAAATTAAATGAATCAAACTCACCAGTGTCCAAGCAGAATCCACTGTGATCCTCAGAAAATATTAGACAGAACCCGAGCAGGTAAACCAAACATATTCTGAAACTCATCATGCTCTTGACTGAAGCAAAGCCAGAGTGAAGTGCTGACCATTCACTGCACACACTAACTGAAAGTATCATGAGTCACTTAAAGTCGTCCTGCCCACAATTACTGCAAGAGTATTGTGTAATAATGTAATACTGGAACCCATGAGGGATGTGCAAATATTCAGCTGATGAAAACACACATTTCCCACAATAATTTTATATACAGCACAATATTAATATGGCACATCACAGTTGATTACAGAGATTACATAAGAACACATATCAAACAAAATATTATTCATGTTTACAGCACAAAGCAATTTATACACAATAAATTATCCGAAAAAGGAGGTGAACAGAAAACATACAACCATTCTTTACATAAATCACTTACAGTATCAGATAGCAAGATTTTTGGCACTTAAGTGAGAAACATAATAATAGGAATATAAGTTCCTCTTCCAACATAGTGTGCATAGGTAGCCTTTCCATAAAACTATACATATATTTAATATTTATACAATAATATCAGTATATTTCTAAGTCTTTTAGATACTCACAATCCCTTATAAATATTATTTAAGATTACATGGAGAAATTATAGCACTTAGGGAAGGGTTTAACTGGCATCTCCAATATTTCCATTTTCTTGTAAGTGCTCATGGGAAAATAAAAGAAAAACTTCTGTCCTGATTTCCTGCTACTTTAGGTCTCAGAGTTTGGGGCGCAAAGGTAACTCTGCCATCAAACAAGTGCAACGGGTACTAAAAACAATCATAGTAGAAGTAAAAACATGGGGAGTATAAAAGCTGATTTACAAAGAATTTGTTGGCTAAAAGGCACAATGGTTTCATCACACAGGAGGAGAATGATTAATGGTTAGCACATACACTGATAAAGGCACAAATACTGTATCTGTGTATACTTCCTCCCTGCAGCTATTCCCTTATTTGAATATTCAGGTTTTTTAAAAATGACCTTAAATACATACACAAACACATCAACAGATATATATTATTGTCGATCCAGTTATATGTTAGACAGCTTGCATTGCTCATTTCTCTCTCATCATTCTCAGAGATAAACAATGTTTTCCTCGCCTGCCTCCTCCCCCTTCTGTCCTTCAAGTGAGAGGTATGCCTGCGGTGGGAGGAGGGGAGTAAGAGAGGGAGAAGAGGAGTAGTCGTCCTCATAAAGTCCGTGACCTGTGACCTCTGACCTCCAGGGACCCAGGGATCGCCTGTCCAACGGCGGGGTAAAGTCTGCTAGAAGGAGAAAAACAGAAACGCATGTTTAAGAAAAAGATCATATTTTGGAGGGAGAGTTGTTTTATTTTCCTGTATGCAGAATATAGAACCAAGTGTTTGATTGTGTTCTCTTAAAACCTTGTACTGCTACGTGTATCAATACTGCTGCATGTCTTCATCTGCTGTCGATAACTAAAGACATAGGAAGGAATTGAGTACACTTACTGTTGTTGGTCCTTAGTGGCTGTGCAGTGACCCTGCTGCTGAAGGGGTGGAGGGAGTCGTCCAGAGGCCGGAGGCAGCCGTGGTTGTTAGTGTAATTCGGGTACGTCAGACCGTCTGGAGTCTGTTTGTTGTGTGCCTGGCTCAGCAGGGTGTTGAGGCTGTTGTAGAGACTAGCACTGAGGCCAAGGTTGGCGGTGTAGTCAGAGCTGTGCAAAGGGCCATCATGGTTCTTCCTCGGAGCAGACAGCAGACGCTGGTGCTGGTTGTTGTTGGCGGGCTGTTGGAGGTGGTTCTGCTGGAGGGAGGCTAGTAAAGCTGCTTCGTTCTCGTATACTGAGCAGTTACCATCCAGGCTACCTGAGCGGCTGTGGCTGTGGCTGGACACCTGAGAAGCCAAAAAATTTAAAAAGATTGAAAAAAAGTTATTGTGCTTTTTTAATCCTTAGATCATGATACCTTTAACTTCCTGTCTCTCCTCCCCATCTCTTTCTTACCTTGTATCCATCCAATGGTATCGTTACAGGTAGGCTGCTCTGGCGGTTGTGTCTCCAGCTCTGCAGTAGCCTCTGCTGGGCTTCAATCTTCTCCTTCTCCCTCTCCACACTCCTCTGGCCCTCTCTCAGTCGGTCTAGATTTTGCTGAAACTCCAGCAGCTGGGCCTCCAGCTCCTCGCGCTCGCAGCGCAGACGCTCGGCCTCCAGGAGGCACTGCTGCTCTCGCTGCTCCAGCACACTCTCCTGCTCACTCTGAAAACACAAATGCCACTTATGATCTCTTGCTGTGGTTATAATAAAGTTTCCACACTACCATTACTGTGACTGAGACTTTAAAAATTTGCAACTTCAACAGGGTGTTTAACGGAGTGTTATATATGAAACGGTTTAAGGATCAATCCACCCTAAAACAACTTAACAGCTTTTGGTAATCTCCATAAGTAATAAAAGCACCGTGAATAGTGTTTGGTTACGATTAAGGTCTTCCTCTCTGACTCACTTGCTTATCTGCATGATAGAAAGTCTAATGCTCTATTAAAATAATATCAATAAGTAGAAGGAATGGTGAAAAACAAAACCAATAATGTATGCATTTCTCAAACTGTATCCATGAATGGGACTTGGAGACTGTAGGCAAGATGTGTGGAATGGGGCAATCCATTGGATGCGTTGATGCAGTATATGGCATGGTGATATTGTTGCTACATCTGCACAGTGACTATGTTTGAGTATGAGAAAAAACAAGAGCTTCTTTCTAAACCATTTTACACTGACATTAGATGAGAAGAGACTCCACCTTAATACATTAGAACACATTGCTGCAATATGATGGAGAAGAAAAAAAAAAGAAATTCAGTAGTAGTATATATGTTGCAAATCTTGAGAAACTAATTGGCTACAGGCCACCAAGAAAAGGGAAGCTACAACATTTTACCACAAAATAACATCTGAACTGCAAACGGAGTACTGTTGATATCTACTCTCTACAAATATTAGATCAAGCAAAGGTGAATTCATGGCTCACAGTTTTTGTTGAGAGATAGATTACCTTCATGTAATCGGGGAAGAGACAGTATAAAAATCAACATCCTTATACAAAACATAAATATAACACAAACACAAGACAAAATGACTTACAATATAGAAAAACACAAGGAAAAAGACACGTGACAGCCTTAACTTTTTATTCTACTGAAATTGAATTAGAATCTCTATGTTTTTATTACTTTTATTATTTAGTCGAGGGTAAAGCCTATCAACTGGTGGCTGGTGTTTACCCTTTTTACCTTTGATTTGAAACAGAAACTGGCATAAATAAAACATGTGGGACAAACTGCCTCGGGGTAAGAACAACAGACAGAAAATCAAAAGAAGTGAGACAAATGAGAGCACATGCAACTCATGCAAGAACCTCAGCATGAGGCATACCTGTTGTTTCTCTCTGGCCAGACACTCTTTGTCCCAGCGCTGTTGCTCCTGTTTCAGCTTCATATGGAGTTTCTGCACCTCATCCACCTCTTCTTTCTTCCTCTCTAAGCCCTTCTTTTCTACTTCCTCTTTCTTCTTATCCATACTCCTCTGCTTCTCCTGCTCCTGGGTAACAACAGAAACCGGTTTAATATTTTCACAAAGAGACAACTGAATTCTAGTCTAACTACCTCAAAACACTGACAGGCTGGTATGGGCTTGTATGCACAGTAGGAAATATATTTACTCTAACATGAATATTGTGTGACAGATACCTGACTGCTCTGGAGGGAAGTGAGTGTTCGGAGCTGAGGTCTTTCTCCCTCCTGGAGAAGGAGTTTCTGGACTTCATGGCAGCTGTCTTGGAGGGTTACGGCAGCCTGACAACACAGGGAGGAAACACCTGAACACCTTATTGAATCTGAATCCTTTTAAATCCCTTATAATATGTGTCAAAATGTATCTTTCTGTGCTATTTTAAGTAATAAATAAACTTAAAAAATGACTAATTTTCTAGATAGATTACATATTTTCTCTTGAGCCAGTGTTTTGTTTTTTAATAATATAATGTAATAAATAAAGAGAGAAAAGATTAAAAAAAAAATTCAATAAGTGGTCTACCATGGTTTTTTAATAGGATCCAAAATGGATGCATCTGTCAGAACCTGACCCAAGTCACAATGTCATATTTAATACCATTTTGCATTTACACACAGAATACCTAATATTCAATGTTAATGCTTAATGTGTGCATTCAGCCACAGACACTGAAACCTACTGACCTGCAGACTATAGAGAAGCTGAGTCAGACTCTGGACGCTCTCTGCCACCTACAGAAAATTGTGTTATTACAGAGGAACAGTAATGCATATTTACTTAATAAACAAACATTGCTCATGGGGAAATACAATTGTTGAACCTTTAACAGTGTCCCTTTGTTGTCTCCTCTTCTCAGCTCAATAGCAGAACTCCACAACAAGCTATCCAGCCCTGTTAGCTCGCTGTCTGATCCAAGAGAAGTGGAGCTCATACTGAGCGTGCTCAGATAATCTGCTGTAGCAACAAGAAGAGAAGAAAGGTCCAAGTAAATGTCACTGCTTGGCCAGCACATATTAATTTGATTCACCCACATTGGTCAAGTAGTATGTGGGAAGCGAGGTCCACTTAAGGACAAACTTAATTACAGTGTATATCTGTGACTCACGTTCAGAGGGAGACTCCTGGATGCTGCTGCCGTGACTGTTGTAGCTGCAGCCCTCTGGTCCTCGGACAGGAGAGCTCTGACTTTGTGTAGAAAGGCCATCACGAGCCTGCAGAAGTGCGATCAGGTTCTCTGCTGCAGAGGAAGCAGATATCTGTCAAAACTTGTCAAAGGTTCAATATGTATTTGTTCAAATGCAGTGCTGATGTGCTGAGCTGATTTCCTCTTATTTTGGCTTATTAGTGCTCAGGTTTAAATTGGGCTAAGCTATTTAAGGAAGTCACCTAAGAAGAATGATAAACATGCAGGTTGGCCAGACCCTATAGACATTTTTTATAGCAGACAAGCAGACATTTTGTCTTTGTTCTAGCAGGAAAAACAGCAACAGCCTTTGCACATGGGGCACCAGCTCTACCAGGTCAGCTACTAGGGCACCCGCTCTACCAGGTCAGCTACTAGGGCACCCCTGCATAATTTATATATGCATCCCTGGAAGCCATGCATTAGTATTCATTACAAAAACAGGGACCTGAAAATGGCAAAACTAAATAGGATGCAGCCATTATTAATGGATAATCATAGCTGTCCATTTTCTGCCATGACATATCAAAATGTCTGCTTTAAAAATTGTCTACAGGTGCAACAAAACTAACTGGAGAGTGAAGGAGGTGTCAATAAAGCATTGTCTGCACACAACAGCAAAACCAACTGCAAAACAGTCTTGAGTATTGAAAATACTAGTATTGGTGTATTGTGGCTATGTACCAAGGACTTTAAGAGATAGATACAATCTGTTTAAGATAAATAAAAACGTGTAAAAACAGGGTTTCCTTCTAAAGAATCTTGTTTAGAGACCCATTTCAGCAAGGGGTCAGCCCTGTGCATAAAATGCTATAGTGTTAGATGAGATGTTTGGTACAGTGTTTTCCATATACTATAGATTGTATTTCACAGAGTCAAAGTGTGCTATTCATGTTCATGTTTTAATGTAACATAATCACTAGTCATCATCATTAACCATCATTAGACTTGTAAAACATGTCCTTGTACTGATGCATTAATGCAGCAGCATGCAGCCCACACCATTTAGTAGCCATACAGCAGCTTTTCTACCTTCTCTGAGTGCAGCAGTGAGCAGTGAGGAAGCCTGTCTTGGTGTCTCATTGTCAGTGTCTGGTTGTACCAGCAGATGGCGATGTGATACAGAGTCTGGTGAGCGGAGGGTTAACTCTGTAAGCTCGGCGTAAAGCTGCAGCTTGTCCTCCAGGCTGTTGCAGATTTGCTGATCCTGACCCAACAGTGTCTCTACACAAAACAAACACTAAGATTAGGACTGCTTGTTGTTTATGTGACGTTTCAGCTAACAGATCAAATGTGCACGTGGAAACACAAATGTTATCTTGCCTTGGAACTTGGTGATCTTCTGAACTCTCACTTCTGCTGCTCGCCTGGCCTCCTCTGTCTCAGCATTTCGCTCCTCCTCCTCCTCTTCCTCAGGACAACTGTAGAGGTAGTAGTTTAGATAATTGGTAACACACGTGTGCCTGGTTAGTGCGTGCACACTGATTCTGAATAGAAGCTCTGACATAATAAACACTGACAAACACTGTAGACTTCACACGCACACACACACACACACAAACACACCTTTCTACAGCTTGTCGTATGTGTCTCATCCATGCATTCCTCTCGTCTCTGGTGGTTGTGTGAACTTCATACATCTCTGGTCCCACTGAGGAGGCCGAGATAAGGAACATCCCTCTCTCCTCGTTGGCTACTTCTCTAACAATGAGTTTCTGCAGAGGGATCACAGGAGGCTTCTGGTCCTGAAAAGCAGTTAAAAGCCGTGAAGATGGGCTAAATGATGGCGAGACATAGACAGACAGCTGGACAAGGTGTCTCTGATTTCAAAGTATTCTGCCGGTCGAGACTTACCACAGCAGCAAATATAAAGCGTTGATCTTTCTCTTGTAGGAAAACCAGGACGTCTGTGAGCAGGAGAGCCAGCGTATCTGAAAATGAAGAGGAGAATTACATGTAGATTGGTTGTCTGTTGAATGCAAAAGATCTTGTGGCACAGATGATCTCATACACACCTTTTAGACGTCCAGTGGCAGTCTTCCAGTAGACCAGCCCTTTATGCTGCAGATCCCTGTGTTTGCTATGCAGGTCCTGTTTGCGAAACACCTTGCCGTTCTTTAGCTTGGCAAAACTCTTGTTCTCCAGCCGTGCCAGCACTTCCTGCAGCTCCTGACACTTCTCATACTTATTCACAGTAAGGTCCACTGCAGCAATGATGTCACGGATCTGTGCCAGGGCACTTGATAGTGCAGAGTGTTCCTGACTTCCTTCTGTGTGGGACGGGAAGGGGTAAAAGAGAGGTCACATTAAAATAATGTTTAAGCCTGTATGAAACACTGTTTTTCAATTAGACAGCCTGCAAAGTAAAAATAAGTTAAGTAATTTGAGGACATTTAGGCTCTTTTTATATTCCACACGTCTGCATCCATAGCAGTTTTATACAGATTGGCTTTCTTTATCCATTAACCACTGATTGAGTCATGAAAGGTAAATATCATTCTCAAGCATGCTATTTAAAAACATCATCATCTATCACTAAAAAAAGGATAATACAAAATTGATCATATTCTCATCATTTGTAAAAACTTTCAGTTTCAGTTAGTATGACACTTTGACAATGGACACCACCTATTATTTGTAATCAATATAGTAGCTAGCTGCATAGTAGTACTTTTCTTGGAGTAGTCTGACTTGAAACATGCAATCATGTTACCAATTATAGTATAAATATATAAAGTATATATCATAGTATATATGGAGTTTTCTAATGCAGGAACATTAAAATGTCCTTTGCCTTCTCCTTTGTGTTGTCGCTTTCACAGAATATGTGACAGATTTAAGAGTTGCATATATTTGTGATTTTGTTTCGGACACAGTAGAGCTGACATACCCTGAGTGTACAGTAATATCCTCTCCAATAGCACTGGGTACTTGGTGATCCGCTGAGTGACCAGCAGGATGAATTCTGGTACCTCTCTCCGTCTGACCAGAGAGTTATTGCTCTGTTGCTGTTGCAGAGAGGGAAACACCAAAATGAGTACCTCTCCAATCAAGACATTTTACTGTAAAACCCTTATTTAAAAAGCTTATTTTGAAGCTGAAAGAAGCTTACTTTGACAAAGTTTTGGAGTTTTTTGTTTTGTTGCTGTAGCTCTTTGAAGACATTGACGGCCTCTGTGTGATGGCTGCAGAACTCTCCGTACACCTGCTTCATCTTCTCAGCATTTTCATCTGAGAACTGAGAAAGAGGCCATAAGAGACTGACTATAGACATGTATCTGTGTGTGTTTATGTGCACAAATGCATCTTCACCAACCTGCTGAAGCAGTACATCTCCAATCTGACGGATGAAGTAATTTCGGGGGTTCTCAGGTTGGGTTGCGGCCTGCCGGCATTCCTGCAGCGCCCCAAAGAGGTTTCTGTGAAAGAGCAGCAGGGAGTCCAAACAGGGGAAGATCCGGGCCACACAGTCCCAGTCCAGCTGCAGCTCCTCCAGCATGCCTCTCCTGAACACCTCCGACATGACCGTCAGGGTTTGGATGTGGTGCAGCTCTGTCTGCATCAGCTCTACATGGGGCAGTGAGAGTGCATTGTGGGTAGTGAAATAAATGTGCATGTTTATAGGTGCAGATGGCTGAAATGATCTCATTTATTGAAATAAACCTCCGTGGGCAATGGGATTACTCTGGCAAAATAATGTTTGGCTGAACCAAACCGCAAGGGATAAAAGTGGCTAAATAATTGTTTCGGTAACTAATTTCAACAAATTCTTCCAAGAAAGGACATTTGTGTAATAAATCTTTTTGTGGGCTCCCAACTTGGCAGTTTTCACAGTATACACTGTTTTTGTGTATGTTTACCAGCTTTTTAAGTAATTTAAATCAAGCCCAAATCAAGTCTGCTTCCCTCCCAGTGAGCAACCTTGATGAAGTGTGATTCATTTGGCGGAGGTTTGACATGCTCATAAAAAATACTGTATGTAAGAAAAATGTCCCACCATAAATAACATCCTGACGTTTAATTGTGCGCTTGTCGTGTTGCCTGCAAAACTCCGGACTAACTGCCAGACTCCATGACTCCACCTCAAGTCCCAGCAGGTCAGCTGACAGGTCGCTCAGTAGAGAAGCATCAACAGCATCTGCAAGAACAGTAAAGTATCTTTCTACAGTCTACAGTAATATTCTATGTTATGTTATTTTATGTTATGCAGGAGTGACAGTGCGGAGGCTGTGATGTAAGCTCATCTTCCTCACCCTGTGTGGTGATCGGCGGCTCGGTTGACGGAGGAGTCTCTGTGACAGGTGTTCCCTCATCAGACAATGAGCTGTTGGTGCAAGCTGTCACACTGCACTCACTGTCCGCCCCTGCTGCATCACTCAGCCGTCTGTACAGGAGCAAAACAAGTCAGATCTGAACATGGGAGTTCAGCATTTATTTGGAGACTGAAGTCGCATTTTGCTGATATTTTATGCCAATATTCAAGATCTCATTGTTTTCAATTATTCAGTGTTTTCCTGGAAATTTATAGATACAAAAGCTCACTGAAATCAGTTTTGGTTAATAATAATAAATAAATAAAATAGACTGTAGTGTTACAGATGTTTTTATAGTGGTGGTCATATAGCAAATTCAAATATCGTTCTGATGTATTGGTTGATGAATAGCAGGAACACTTCCATTCTACCTGCTGTCTATAGAGATAGAGAGGCTTTTGGAGAGAGGGGCGACTGTTTCTCTCTTCTCTCTGGTCATCGTCGGAAGTGAAGAGGAGGAGGAGAAAATGGAGGCTGGAGAGTTGTCTTTCACAGAGTCTGGAGGAGAGACCAGGAGTACATGGATTATAACGCTGTGAGGAGGTCTGCATTTGTTATTTTTCATTGTTTAACTGGGCATGCAGCCCACAGTTGTGACAATATGTTGTAGTAATTAAAGATGATTGTGTTTGACCTTGACACCTTTGTCAGACATCAAACACTCAGTGAAGACACAGAGCTTCACATTAAGAAATGAAATGACCCTGTCAGTGCAAGAGAAACACTCAACCTCTGTGCTCATGCACAAACACACACATAAACACAATCCAGGCCAGATCCCCCACTGAGACAGATTAAAATTTAACTTTTTTTTAGCAGGGAAAGAAAAACAGGGAAGAGGGGAGAGTGGGGGGTGAGGAGCAATGGCTTTCTTAATCCAATACAGGAGAAACCAGGGAGGACAGGTAAAAAACGTAATCAAAGACCAAGGGAGGACGCTATGGGAGTGGGTGGGGGGAATGCCATAATTTCTGACTCACTCTGTGGGAGAGACAGGGTCTTGCTTTTCATCAGCACTGCATTCCTCTCCTGCGGCTTCTAAAGAAACACATAATCATATTAACATCAGCAGCTGTAAATCATCATATTTGTGCTTTAAATATCAGGTTGTTGTGGTAGTAACATAGCAACAACAAATTCAGTCAATACTGGAGTCAGTTTATGTCTACAACAAAACTTGAAAGAACCCCCCACAACTCTTGTAATACATCATCAGTTTGCGATGTCCAACACATTCCAGGAGTTCCTTTGTCACCAAGTGTTGGAATCTACTCTTCCTGTACCCACTTCCTCGTCGCCTGCCTCTACTTCAGTGGCTGATTTATTTCTTTTTTTGGCATTTTGCCTTTATTAGACAGGACAGAAGAGTGTGACAGGAAACACAAAGAGAGACGGAGGGATTGACCCACAACAAAAGCAGGAATTGAACTGGGGATGTTGACTGCCACAGTGCAGCTCAGACCACTGGACATGATTGGGTGACAGTTACAGATTATACCTATACTGTATTGAAATTACTAGTATAGGTCAAATGCTAATAATGTTAGATCCTACATTTCTCATAATGGCATCTACAGAATCTTTTTGTTAGACCTCAAGCAGAGATAACCATTATTTTCTCACACTTGACAAATCTTCTTCAAAGCCACAAAAGACATTATCCACCTGTGTGAGTAGTTCTAACCGTTACAAGTAAGCTGAACTATATGTGTAAAATTGGTGGAATGCCCCTTTAATGGTAGAAAACTGTCATCATGCAAAATTTTAATATAAGCCCAAGTCTGACTCCTCCCTCTAAAAATGAGATGAACTAAGGTACGTGGTGTCAGTGGTTACCTTTCCACAGGCTGCGACAGACTCTCTGCAGTTTTTATGGACATTCAGGAAACAGTCTACAGACAAAGGCAGATGAGATCCAAGTTAATTTCATCAGTTAACCATTAATAAAAAAAATTACCACATCTCTGGACCCAGATGGCTGTCAAACCCTGCTCCTCATGATCGATGTTGACTTTGTGAGAGGAAGAAAACTGACTTCATGTCTTCTGCTAAACAAAACATCAAGGCAGCACGTGCGAATAGGTTTATACAAACCCTAAACAGTCCAGCCTCTACAGACATAAAACAACAACAGTACTGACAGTGCAGTACTTACTGGAGCACTGCAACAGCTCCTTCCCAGAAACAGTCTTATCACAGGCCACACAGAGAGCGGGACCAGATGGAGACACAGGAACAAACTGGTGCCCATTAGCGGCTCCGGACTTCTCCTTTCCCTCCTTCACCTCTTTCCCCTTCACCTGAAGCACAAGTCATAAATATTTTAAACTCGCTAATTCAGCTGACATTTACTGCAGTTAATGCCACAATATCATGTAAACCACCAAAGTAGAAATAACACGACTCCGAGCAGCAGCAGAAAGAGGCGTACAGCAGTCATCTTCTTGCTGAAACACACCTGTTAAAGTGGAGTTAGTTGAGATAAAGGGGCCTCTGAGTGAGCTTTTCTGTTTACTTTGTTAAGGTTCATGGAGACTGGTTGCTGTTGTGGTGCTTTACCCTTAGGGAGACATTAGGGGGATTCCTATCTGTATGTGTGTGATAGTACATTGTTTATTTTCTTATCAAAGTTTACAAGGAAGTCTAAGAGTGCATGTTTGTTATTTGACTGTTAATGCGCCTGTACATGCATAGAAACATGTTCTTGAACACATGCACTCGTGTTTATAAGATTGAGAGTATACTATGGAATGTGTTTTGGTTCCTCACGCTGTGTGGAGGGGGTCTACGCATTATGTAAGAGGATATTTTCACTGTGTCCCGTTGCTAAGACTTGAGGAGAGGGAATCTTCTCCCTCACCAAATAAAGGCACCGGGCATAGACAAAAGCTCCCCAGCACAGGAATCCTGACCTGGCCCGTCTGAGAGGTGGTAAACCTTTTACTGCGCTACTTTGGGAGGCCTTTCAGCTCTGACATTATATATATATAATTCAACTATAGGGATTATATATATAATTCAACTATAGGGATTACTATAATCATGTTCTAAACACACGTAGGTGAAATCTTAGCCAGCAGGAAAGCAGGAATCATATTTTTCTCTTTGTGGCCTCACCTTGGTCTTGTTGCGAGTGCTGGACATCCTGTTCTTGAGGAAGCTGAAGGTCCGGCTGACTTTGTACTTCTCTGACTCAACCTTAGACGGGATTATGTATTTGTCCCACTCCTCATCCTCGATCCTGTTTGAGTTTGAACATTTCAGTCAACGGTGATCACTTCAACTTCTACCATTATTTTGCCCTGTGGAAGACTGCAGCATTCAAGCCCAACATGCACACTCCTTATAAAACTAATCATTATTTGAGTACTTTTATTATTCTAAGAAGAGTTGGATAATAAGGCACATTGGTGTCATGCTGGAATGAAAGAATGTCCAGACAGTCTTCCAGGACCCCTGGTCTACAGACTATTACTCTTAACAACATGCTTGGCATGCTTGGAAGTCACTATGGACTCTAGTGGATGCTATTTATAGTGTGACCTTGGCAAGATGCAATTAATAATGTGTCAACTATTGACAGCAATGTATGCTAGTTACATTACACATTCTAGGTGAAAGGCAACAATGACAAAACGTAAAACATGCAATGTCACATCAAACCTATACTGTAATCTGACATAAAAAAGTGTTAATATAGTCTGCTTCTGAGGATTCATTACTAAATCGGCTGCAAAGAATCCATGTGGTTAATGGAGGAGTTGGGGGAATGGTTTTACAACAGCGGTTAGAATGAGTTAAGCCACACATGCATGGCCGTGAGGCCATTTTGGTGAAAACATACTCTTTGAGGAACTCTGTGAGGGTGAGATGTTGGAGTGATGCGCTGCTCTCCTCTTCTGCTGACTGGGCCCGCTTACAGAAACCCAAAACCCTGCGTGGATATAACACACCTCAGACCAGATTGTTGTGTTTCAGCTCATCAGGAGACTCAAAATGTTAATCATATGATCATCTGAGATTAGAGTCTACACACAGTTTCTGGGCCTAATAAAGTGTGCATGGAAAAGAGAAATGACTACAGGTTTTACATGTGAATACTCAAATGGATGTTGGTGCTACAGACTGTTTTAGCAACATCCACATTCTGGTCATGCTGGATGGATAATGATTGTGAGGGACAAAAATTAGTCCGATCAGGCTGGTGTTGTGAATATTGTAGTATTAATATGCTCTATTATAATACAACAATCTAATTGCCTAATATGATCTTCTAAAATGTTTCCTCTGTTAGCAATGCATTGTTATTAGCAAACAAAATGTATTAGCGCATGATAAATTTATGAGACATTGAGATGAAATCAGCTGTAAGATGGATATGGATTGTGGCATTTACGAAATGAAAAAAGATTGCCACATGGTAGGATTGTGAAGCAAATGTTAATTCATTACGGCTAGTCTATATTGACTACAGTATGTACATACTACAAATTCGGTATCATTGATGTAGTCTAGACATTATCTGAATGTTTCTAAGGTCTGGAGTCCAGGAAAGTTTTGCTGTTTACTCAGGGTTATTTTGAGGTTGCAATCAGAGCGTATTCTGGCCCTTGCCTTATGACAGGAAGTATGTCACATCCTGTACACTCAGACCCCAACCACAGGTTTTATACTGAAGATACACATACACATGCAAACCGCACACATACACACATGTAAGCCCATCTAAGCCAATGTCTAACCGCTGGTCAACACGGATGCCTAAAAAGGGAGGAACAGTTGAGTGTATTGCTCCTGAGCTCAGGAAATGACACACTGGTTTTACCTCTTTTCTCTGGGAGTCTCTGACAGGCTGAAGGCTCTCTGCTCTGTAAGGTAGAGAAACAGGGACAGGCAAATGAGTAAGCCAGAAATACGTGCCAATAAAAGCGAAGACATTATTATAGATTTTGAGTGAATCAGCCGAGGGTGTTAAAAACCATCATCCCCAATCAGAATTGAGTTAGAAGCAAATACAAGAGTCCCTGAAACAATCTGGATCCAGCAAACCCCCACCGAGATAGAACAAACAAAGCACAAGAGTTTTGCCTTGAAAAACCAGTTGACACCGAAGATGGAAAATCAAAACCAAGAGGGAAACAAAAAAAAAAAGTATGTACCAAAATCGAAGCAAAACAGAACCCTCAGAGTAGAAACAACTCCTCCCTCAGATGATCTCTAAAAGTTAAGTAGAGAGTATTTTCCAAAGATTCAGACCTCCACTTGTCAGTCATTATTAAAATGAATAGAGTTTGGATTACTATTGTTTTATTACTAAGAAAAAAGGCTTGACATCAAGCTTTGGAGAAAATCTGCTCTTGATCTCCCAGCAATTCAAAATAACAATCAATATGTTCTTCTCTGAGACAGTGGTTTGTGCATTGCACATTATGAGTGCCGCACTCACCACCAAATACAAAGCCTTGCCACATATATAGGGGTGCACAATTTGGGCCACAATGAGAAACATCAGTGTTTTGCAAAACTGTGTGATCAAATTATTTAGATAAATCATTTTACAGCAAAACATGCAGCAAAATGATTTAGTTTCTTCCTATAACATGACATTTTCAATTATTCTACTCCAGTACCATGTTGTATACAAATACTTTTAAATTACACTGGGTTGTGAAAAGTTTAAACCAGATATGCCCTTTAATTGTGCAGCTCTTGATAATCACCAGTTTATCCCACGGTTCACAAGAAAGAGCAGAAACACACCCTGAAATGTATTCACCGATCAATCACCAGTGTATAAGGTTGCTGTTTGACGCGTGTTCTTGTACTTACTAACATGGTTGAGACGAGAGAGGGATTTAGAGAGAGATAAAGCTTGAAGTAGAGAACGACTACCGCTGCTGAATGCACCATCTACATGAGACAAAGCACGGCCTTAATGCTGCGCACTCGCATGTACTCATAAATACATGTGAGTAGCGAAGCTGTATCAAAGCATAGCTGACACTCAACGCGCATACACTTTATAAAAGGTTCAATTGATTTATGACACCTGTCTGGTCTGCCCCCTGTTAGGACATGTGGCACATGTGTCCATTCAGCTGACTCCTGGGAACAGAAAGGTCACAGGGCAAAGGGGTCAAAGTTCACTCACCTTCTGCCAGGTCAGTGATGGCTGCGTCTCGGTTTAGCAGCGGCCGTGACGGCTTTGCCTTGGGGGAGGAGTAGGAGTAAGAGCGCATACGAACCTCGGCTTCCTCTGGGTTCTGGATGAGAAAGCAGATCAGAAGGAACGGATCAGACAGAGCTGTAAGATCTAGCAGATCTACTCCATATATTTGACTTTTTGTTTACCTTATTGCGCTGTTGACGGTCTGGACTATCAACTGGTGACTGTCTGTATGACATGCTGTGAATGTTTTAGTGCTTTAAGTTGCATTTTCTGTATGGCATAAGTTTTTTGTGTTTTTTTATGCTTGTAATATATTTTTAGACTAAAAACATGCTGCCAAATGTTTTAAAGTTTTAACTAAGAATTGAACACAAGATTGATAAATGTGTGTTCAGTACATCATATCAGTGGAAACAGACTCTACATAAGTGACCTGCTTATCTGTCAACTTTTAAATCTCTTTTCTAAATGCCAATATAGTCATAGAGACCGTGTTTTTATCTTTATAATAAAGGCATGAGAAAACCAGGAAGAATTCTGACTAAGGCCACAGATGAATCCACATACTGTGCATGGAGAAAAACACTGCTGCTGGTTATTTAATACATGTCTAATCAGGGTGTACCTTGGTGGATTGGTGCGTGCTGTCTGAGTGTGTTCGGTTGAAGTCTGGCGACGTGTCAAAAGAGTCCCTCTCCTCTCCTGAGCTGGATCGCAGGAAGGACTGCTGCTTTAAAGATGAGCAAGGGTACGAATGTCCCAGTATGTCCTCTTCTCCACTGTCACACTCAAGACTTGGATTTACACACAAACACACACATACACAAGCATAGATGTAAATGCACAAAATTCAGTGAACTGTTGGTATTCAGTCTACATTAAGTTGGACTTAAAAAAATCCTGCTGGCTGTCAAAAAGTCTAGGAATTAGACTACAGTTGAAGACAACAAGAGATTCAATTCAGATTCCTCTCTTAAATATCCACCCAGCCCCAACATTATCATGATGTCTTCGACTGGCCTGTAACTTAATTGGGGATAAGATGCTGACTCTGTGTCCATGATTACCACAGATAAGCGCAGATGGCCTGGATCTTAAAAATCACCATGGACAGTCATCATGGCAAAATCCAGGCAATATTTAAGCTTTAAACTGTGAAACATTTTGCCGGCTCCAGTGCTCGCAAAGAAGATCCTGCAGCACTGAGGAAACTGGAAGGAATGTTCAGCAACTTCAACACACAAACAGCTCAATTGTGTCCAGGCTTCCTGTCACTTTCCGCACCTTCACAGACAATATCGCTGCACAAAATGTGTAATGCTGTGAAATGCTTTTGCTAAAATTCCAAACAGATGATGCTTGATTGTCCTAGTATGCGTTAGTCACAGTTTCTTATCAAGATCACACAACAAGTTTCTAAATCTGTACACTGATTTTATTTTTCCAAAAACTCAAGGAATTAAGTTTGCTATAATGCAGAGTATTTGTTGTCTCACTTTAACATAAAAAAACTCAACCAGCCATATTAAAAGTTAATTAAATATAATACTTCACAATTTGTATGCCTTTGATTTTTTATTCAATAATTAACATTAACAGTGTCCTACCTCAGGCCCCGACTCGACTCTGTCAAGCTGCATCCTCTACGATTTAAAGCAGGAGAAACTGGCAGGCACTGCTGCGCCTGACGCCTCTGTGTTCCCTCGAACAATCGGAACGGGGAAGCCAGCGGGGAGGAAGGAAAAGACGGGGAGGAAGCAAAAGGAGAGGGGGGAGAAACACGCTCTCTGTGATTCTCCCGGCCGGGGCCCTGAAGTCCTCTTTCGCCATTATGGGGTGAGGATGGGTGCCAGTTCTGCGAGCAGTTCTTTGAATCAGGGGGAGTCAGGGAGAAGGATTCCCAGCATGGGCTGCCAATGTGGGCCACGGGGCTTACCTCCTCCTCCCCTGGAGAGCGGTATTTAATGTCAGCGTCATCCACCTGGAACAGACAAGTCAAGGGAATGAGAAGGAACCTTTCCACAGGCTGATTTGTAGCTCCTGTAATGGAACATTTTACATCATATGAGCCAAGTCTGCTTTTAGTTTTATACTATGTAACTGATTTACACAGATTTTTTTTACTTACACTGAATAGAAAGAAAGACTAATTTTCGACTCACCTGGTCCACCAGCATGGTGTTGGCGTACACTCGGTCTTTGCCATGTATCATCGCTGACAGTCTGGCAGCTGCAGCCAGAGTTGGTGAAGAGGCCTGACTCTCCCTTATGGACTGGCTTTTCTCTACATGGTGGAGGGGGCATAAAGAGAGAGAGAGACAGAGAGAGAGAGAAAGAAAGAGGGGGGATTTTTCAATATTACATTTGGTTTCCACAGCAACACCAAATAATTCACAAACACAGGAAGTGACATAGACATCCTGGGCAGTTGCATATCATTGTTTAGGACCAAGAGTCCCTGTATATGTGTGTGTGTGTGTGTGTGTGTGTGTGTGTCACACGTGAATGGGTGTGCATGGAGTCGTGAGTGGGCATCTGTAGGCATGTTTCTTCCCCACCCTGCCTTCGATACAGCGGTTGAGTGGAAATAACTCCTGGTGAGCACACAGTAGCATTGAGAGGAACCCTTTCAACACAGTAGAGTCACTGTGAGCAGTAGCCTGGCTTTACTGTTAAACAGAGGAAAACACCCCTGCTCTCAAAACACATACAGCTCCCTCTGGGATGTTGCTCTGCACAAAACACAGCCTCTCCACAACACAATTTCTTGGAAAATATTTCAGGTTAGAAAACAACCTACAGATATGCACAAAGAGGCTGAAAGGTAATAGTTACAGCGCTTACTACAACAAATCTTTGAGGAGACATATATGCAACGCAGTATTGTTCAAGCTTATTTGCACAACAGGATGAAATATAACTTAAAGATCCCCTCCAGACATGTGTTAAGACATATACAAATAGTCTGTGGAATCCATTCTCAGTGTATGTGCGCTGGCAGTTTCAAGTTTCTACATGACACTTTGCAAGTTGCAAATTGGACTCTGGCTCGTAGGCCCGCCCCTTAAAATCTGATTTTCAATGAGCACAGAGAAACTTTCCACTTTCAGCAGATGAATGTGAAAAACATCCTTCTAGTGTCAAACTATGTACATACATCATACTGCACAGTGAATTTGTGAAGAAAGAAGAAATAACACTAATATACTAAAAGTCCAATTTAGCATGTAAATGTAAAGAATGTTAAAAGTAACACACTGGACTATTAATATTTGACTATTTGTCAAGGGCTGTTTCCAAGGTAAAAAATGAACTCAACTGTAAAGCCGACATGGACGAAAAGTAGTATAAATGCTCAGATAAAATGGAAATTTGAACATCTACATTTCCATGGCAAGCTCCGTCTGCTGATAAGGCTCAAGAGTTAACTTTAAAACTCAAAGGCTTAGGGTGTTTGTGACAAATGTATGTGAACTTACTTTTCCAGTGGGTATTACAGTACAAAACAATGTCTGAGTGAGTTATCAGTCCAATCTCATTGCTGAACATTAGCGCAAAATAATCTAGAAAGATACGATCCAATGTAGAAAGAAGCCCTTGCTCTTTGATTCTGAGGAACTGACATCAACATTTAAAGCACCGTCATTGATCTTTTAAGCATCGAAAATTTTTGAGGCTTTCAAACTCCCACCTTCACTCCAATCAACATCACCAAATTACAAGGAACTTACCCTCCCTGCTACTTATAAATCAACCAACTCCCACTCAGTGGAGCTTCTGAGTTAGCAGAAATAGACTGTGGTTCAATTCAGCTGCTCACAGGTATGACAGCCTTATGCATGTGAAGTCCAGCAACAAAAAGGATATTTCTCAGCCTGAGAAGCATTCCCTGGAAAAACAGAACAACAGCTCGACTCGTCACTCTAACCAGGAGAGAAAGCCTCATTAGTTCAGTTATATTATTATGTTCCTAATGACAGTCTCACCTTACGCTGGCCATGCCTTGCCTGCAACAAGGCCAGAGGTGCAAATACATGTCGATGGCACTGTCATTTCCACCTAAACTCCTCAAGCAGATATTAAATCTAGACTTAACAGTCCTCTGTGAAAAAACAAATCCATAGTTTATCCATAGTTTCCAAGCTGCCAGCACCACAGCGTAGAAGAAGAGAAGCACAGCATTTGTAGCAGAGAATAAATCAGACCAACAATTGGCTGTGCTTCCTGTAGACGGTGAGTCCAATAAATCTGAGAGCCAACAGGGAGACATTGATGAGGACACCAGATGATCCCTGTTCCATCCACATCAAATGTAAAGACTCAAGCTGAAGCACTGCAGGATGTCCAGAGCTCGAACTGCATCGTATTTCCCAGGACGTAAATCCGCTGTAAGGTACTACATTCTGATAACAGCAGAAGATGGCACAATATAAGCCTTACAACCTGTTTGTCTGTTATTAAAAAAAAAAAGTACAAAGTCACCTTCTACTAGCCTCGACCTTCTAATATGTATCATAGGATCAGTTTTGGACGAATATCAGATCCTTGATGTGGATCATACCACCGTTTGAAAGCAGACAGTGTTTCATATAAGCCCACTTAAGGAGCTTGACAGACAGGACTAATAGTTAAGGTTCTGGGCTGGGTCCAAAGCCACAGCTGGCTGCCACGGGCCTGATCATTCACACACCTCTGACCCATAAACACTGCCTCAGTGAACATTACTGTCAGGCACTGAGATCTGTGTTTAACATTAGTTAACTGGGGGGATAACAGAGTAGCATGGAGTTCATATTACTAACAAGTTAGAGCTGCACAAAATCAATCTTTCGGCCAGAGAAGCTATCTTTATCGCTGAGACAGAGAGTGCTGTCCACAGGTAGCCATTTCAAAGAAGATTTTAAGGAATGCAGAGCAATGTGTGGGGCTATTTCTATGGGATTTTGCTCACAGAAGGCATATTTGGATGTGATGTGATATTCAGAGCATGTCCCTGAGCGAGAGCCAACACTATACAGTAGCAGCGCCTGGAGCAGCAGCAGAGAGAAAAAGAGAGAGCTTGAGCTTTACAGAGACCCAGACAAAGACCGTAGTCACTGCCAGGTTTCCAGACCAGGGCAGTTAAACAGAGAGAGTGACCCTTCAACCCATGCACACCCCTGGGAGAGAGAGATCGAGGAAGGCAGGATGAGGGGGGGCGGTTGTCACAAGGGCTCTTTCTCAAGGTTTTCTCTCTTTGGAGGCTGCTGGTGTGCTGGCAAAACAAAAAGTTCAAGATAAACAGAGCATCATAATTGTTAATTGTGTTAACACTCAGGCTTGTTTATTATAAGTATTAATGCATTATTTGTCCATGCTGTCCTTTCTTTTATGATGTAAGTTGATTTTGAAGCACTGCACTAAACAACTGTCACTTTAGAGAGAGCTGGGAAAAAATCAGGAGCGGAGTAAAAAAACAAACAGAGTCTAAAAGAATCACAACAGAGGGTGTTATTACCTCATAAAAGTGGAGAGGTAATTATTCCACTTCAGTGTTCATGGAGCGCCGTTTAAATCATTAAAACAATTGTCCACCAAAATCCACAAACCCACTCTGAGTTATGACACCTGCGGTCAAACATCCCAGGCCAAGCATCACATTGTGCATTCTCGCTGTGTTTACATTTGAGTGCGTCACCCGGCCCAAGACATCCAGGAAGGTGTAAACCCAGAGTGAGTGGCGATCAGTCGTCAGAGTGAAGAAATAAACTTGTGGCTCCACACACCTGAAATCACATTTCACTTTGCAGGTGCATTGTTACACCAGAGCCGTTTTACTTCAGATTCTGACTTCTGAACATGTCTAAATCCACTTGGACAATATATGGTCGGTTTAAAAAGGTCATATAGCGCCGCTGTTTCTGCTCTGTAGCTGAACAGCACAGACAGGCGGTGTGTATAAAATCTGCAGATGTCAATCTCAATTTAGAGGCAATAACATGGATAATCTTGCAGAGGTTTATGGTGAAAGATGAGGAAAAGAGCGCTGGAGTTCAGCCATGACACAGAGATGGCAGTAACTTGATCTTCCTCTGTGTCTCTCGCTCTTGCTCCGTCTCTCTTCCCAAAAAACACACAGACACTTGCACACAAGCAATGAACTGTTTAACTATTCTGGTTGAATTTTGCACTATTTTGAGCATTCACTTCAGCTCTCCCATGACTAATTATGGAGCAACCAACGTGTATGCCAAGGTTAAGCAGCAGAATTAACTTAATTTTAGTTCAGTTTCTCATTAAACTGTGGCAAACACTAAACTTGACCCCCAGGGACACTTCAGTGACACCAAAACTGATTATGATTATCAACTGCAGGTCCCTTAATAGAGGTATATGAAGGCACATATTAAGCACTGGGTCTCACTTTTGCACTTCATGGATCCCAGCCGTCACATGAAGCCACGACTCCTCAGCAGGGTTCATTCATGCACACAACTGTGTGGCCTGAGGACGTCAAAAAGCCCCACAGCACTCAGTAAGCTTCGAGTAGACATCTGACATTCCCCAACATACTGTCACATATCAGGTTACATCACTGGCAAACATGCAGTTATCTCACTCTGATTGACTCGCCGCTGCAGAGGAGGCCTGTGAATAAGCATGTGTAATGGGAACAGTCTAATTTTAACTGTATTGTTCCACAGTGAGTGGCCAGACGATTCTGCCATGATGTAGCTATAAGAAAAGAGATGTAACTGAGAAACAGTCTGTGTGTAAACAAGTTGGCCACTTTCTTTCTGAGTCACCCACATGCATTGTATGTCTGTCAAACACTGCAGCAATTAACATAACAGCAACATTGTCTGTAATTCCATTCCAAGAATATTTGACTGTCTGTGAAATTAATCAACCTTTATGGACACTCATACAACCAAGTCAGTGTGACAGTATGAAAGATAATTCTTCTATAAATAAATTAAGATTCCTATATCTATCAATCAGTGTACCGTTCAGTGTTACCTTTTTTACCCGTCTTCCTGCGCATCCTCATCTTTGGAAAAGAGGGCCAGGAATAGTTGAAAGGAGAATCAGAGTCAGAATCCATGATTTGGTCGGTCTTCAAGAAAAGAAATGTATCCAAACAGCTGAAAGTGTTTACAGCGCCTCAGTTTACATCCATTTCCCAGAGGCTGAACAGACTGCAGCGCTCACTCTCCTTTTTCCAGAGACCCGCTGTAGACACTCTTGACACTTCAGGAGTGAGCAAGCATGTTCCCCTCTGTCTCCCCCAGCCACCCCTCCCCCTAAAATCCACCCCTTCCCCCTCCACAACTCTGCACCAACTGTCCGACAGAGCCAGGGCCGAACCCTGTCTTCTCCCTCTGCTCCTTCTGTTCACTTTCCTCTCTATCTACCACTTTTTCCTGTCTTTCTGAGTGCCCTTCTCAAATCGGTGCCAACCTCTGGGTCTTTCCAGTCCTTTTCTGTCCCCCTCACTCAGTCATCTACCACACACAGCACGGAGGGAG